TATACTACATGTCAGACCCTGCCAGCTTCTTCAAGCTACTTACAGGACTTGAAAAGGGCCTCGTCTGCATCATATTACATCTCAGACTATGCCAGCTTCTTCAAGCTTGGAATGGTCTTGTCTGCATCATACTACATGCCAGATCATGCCAGCTTCATCAAGCTACTTACAGAACTTCCAAAGGGCCTTGTCTGCATCATACTACATGCCAGACCATGCCAGCTTTATCTAAGCTACTTACAGAACTTCAAAAGGGCCTTGTCTGCATCATACTACTTCTCATACCATGCCAGCTTCTTCAAGCCACTTTCAGAACTTCAAAAGGGGCCTTGTCTGCATCATACTACATGCCAGACCATGCCAGCTTCTTCAAACTACTTACAGAACTTTAAAAGGGCCTTGTCTGCAATACATCAATACATGTGGCAATAGGTCTTGCTAATATCATCATGAAATCAACTCTTGAGTCGTATTTTCTTCATAACAGATAGAAAACACTAAATTAGGACATGCAAAATGCATAATGAAGGCTATTATAAACACTGTCTTAAATTGATACTCTATAATATTTATCAGCATCGGAATACATTATGTACAAATTATGGAGCATCAATAATATGCATTTATCTTATGTTCTTCATTTCTACGTATTTTAAAATACATTGTACAACGTCCAGAATTAGGAGCATAAAAACCACTGTGGCTAAACAAAGGTTTTATTGAATAAAAATTTTTACGAAAATAAAACGATGTTTCATCATTTTTCGAGTTTATATCAGGAACATCAGGAACTATATATTCAATTACATGTACACTGTACATTATTTCCAAGATTTGAAAACAACTTCAGAAAAATGAACCAGCTATATGCAATTCTGTGCATCAATGTTTCACAGTACAATATAGAATTGTAAAATTTTAGGACTGTTCAAACCATATCATGAAATTCAAATACAATTAGCTTCCAAAATAGTGTGTCTCGTTACTATAAATTAGAAACAGTAGAACTTTGTTCATAATTGCTACCAAATTTCAACCCATCATATAGATATAAAATTGTATATACATGTACCAGGTACGTACGTGTATTGATTACTACCGTGACTTTACTAGAATTATACTCATTCTCAAGTAACACATGTTTTGTTTGTTTGTTTTTTGTTTTTTTTTTTTACAAAGCTAAATTCAAGCTGAAAAACGGACATTAATCTGTGTCCAAATGCTTACCAGATTCTCTGTTCTGTGCGTGCCTCTATCTGCTGTAAGAGTCGTAGCCGTAGCTCACATAGTCCTATAGTCTATGAGGCTTAGTAACAATTAAAGAAACAAAACTGGCAGAAGATTAGACGTTGACAAACGTTTTAATCACTCAAGCTTTCAGGAATTACGATTAACAGAATGAAATTTTGTTGCCTTAATGTGAAAGACACAGGGTACTTATATGGTCCTTTACCCTATCGTAAATAATATAAACAGTGTTTAAAATTCAAATGTTATTTTTATACTTTCGTTCTTTCTTTGAGGAAGTCGCAAATAAGAAATTACCAGTTTGTAGCTGCACCTTCAAATGTGCCAATTTTCACCCACATGGAGTCCAAACGTGTCAGAGATGCCCGGAACCTCGGCTCTGTTTGTTTGTGCATAATCAGCAACTGTTTCTACATGAAGCTAGGCGCTCGTCTAGTATAGACTGATTTCTATCTCCGATCTAAGCGAACATAAGTCTGTTGCAATGTAGCAGCGAACTTCGAATAACTTAAAACACCCGAAAATCTACCTTATACGTGTCTGAATCATGCGTAGCACGGATTCAACCTATTCACCCGTAAACAAATAAACAACCAATCGATCTCCTTTATCGATGGACTTAATCTGCATACAAAACAAACACACGTGTTTTACCATAACTTTTATAAATATATTTATGTATAGTTTATCCACCTCCCAACCATTTATAGTTGTCTCTACAGGCAATAAACTCGCTGGATATGAATTTTCAATTATCTAACAAATAATTTTAATCAAGCGAGTTTATCGCTTGTAGAGACGACTATAAAGGGTTGGGAGATAGATGAAATATACAGATTAATTAAATAATGTGTCTAGAATTCGGGGTTGAAAGGTAGTTGATTGAACGATGCTGGAAAGTGGAGAAATTCTCCCCAAAAGAGCGCAGAAAATATTGCGCCGTAAATTGCACCTTTTTTGAACTACGGGATCTGTAGCGTTATGGTCAAAGACAAATATATAAAACCATAACGCTACAGATCTGCAGCTAAGCTATGACTTGCATATTTCACATATCCATTCCTTTTGACAAGACCATTCCTTTGAGTATCGCCAAATTTGACCTTTTGACCTTGACCTTGGAGTTTAACCCACTTTTACAAATTCCAAACTTTTTCTTTAGTCATATCTTTTTAACAGTAAATACCAGGACATTAATACTTCACATTTATATTCTTTGTTGAAAGACCTTTCATTGGATACCAACAAACATGACCATTTGACCTTGACCTTGGAGATTTCAATCCTTGTGAAAAACTTTAACCTTGGCCATTACTTTTGAACGATAAGGGATAGGGCTTTCATACTTACATATTTGTAATTCCTGTGAGAAGACCATTCATTGAATACCAAGAACTTTGACCCTTTGACATTGACCTTGGAGTTTGACCCACTTTTAGAAAGCAAACCTTGACTTTAACTTTAAAAGAGTTAGGGTTAGTGCATTCATACTTTACATATTTCATCCTTGTGACAAGACCTTTCTTTGGGTACCACCAAATCTGACCCTTTGTCCTTGACCTTGGAGTTTGATCTACATTTCAAAATTGGTAACCTTGACCATAACTTCTGAAGGGTGGGGCTAGTGATTTCATATTTCAGATATGTATTTTTTGTGGCAGGACCTTTCATTAGATACCAATAACATTGACCATTTGACCTTGACCTTTGAGATATCAAGAAATACCAATATATTGAATTTGCATATAAGAAAAGTTTAACCTTTGCTATGTTGCCATACGGGGAACATCAGTGTTTCACAAACACATCTTGTTTAAATTGTACATGTATTTAATTGATTTACTTAAAACTGTAATTTATTTACTGAATCAAGGAGAATCCAGAGCAGTTGCAATACAAATAATTACTTAAAAATGGTAGTCTAATCACTATCAGTAATATATAATTTTGGATTCCATATTAATTGTCTGTGAGGAGGAGTTATCTTTCTTCTAAATATTCCTTCATGTAAAAAAGAAGTCATACTAATTAAAATGCTGTATTAAGTACTTGAAACTTTAAACCATATTTAAAATGGTCCTTAAAAAGATACAACTTATTCAATTTATAAGGCTTTTGATGTTGGAATTAAATGTTTTATTGTTAAATATAATAAAACAATTACAAAGAAATTGGCAAAAGAAATAGAAAGTATTGTTACCATCGCGGATAGATTTTCTCTAATTGAAAACTCGAAAAGCTCAATTAGGAAACTGTGATCAAGAAAACTGTGATTGGTCTTACATTTTATACTTTCATGTATCTCCTTTATCAGAGGGTCGATACCTTGCAGTTTTTCTAGTAAATAATGTCGATTTTAGTAAATATGATAAGTATTTCATTTACTTAGTATTCTCTTAATTAATAACATTCTAGATTTTAATTAATATCAGAATTACATTTACTTAGTAATGATTCATAAAATCTAGTAAATAGAAAGCATATTATCTCTAAATTAAGTAATAATAATTTACTAAAAATGAGTAGTTCATTTACTAAGTAATATAATTCCTATTAAGTATTGATACTTAGTAAATCATTTTATAAGTAAATGAATTCATCCTTATTACTAATTATGTTTACAATTACTAACCATGATAGTCATTTACTTGCTATTCTGACTAAATGGATTACTAATAATTACTAGTTTTTCTTAATCTAATATCTTATTTCAAAAACAACAAGTAAAACTTTTTTTTAGAGTGGACTAGAGTAGAATTCTCCTTGGAAAAGTTTGCTTTACTAGACAAGTAATAGTGCTCCTGGAAGGAAATCGCAATCTACATTTGAATTTCCGCCGGAGGAGGGATATGTGCTTCTACTGTTGGGTAAATCTTGCTCTAATATACCAATATATAAATAATAGTTAACTATAATATCTTTATATGCCGTACATTTTCAGTTCTCTGCATTTACAGTTACTTCCTTTTGGGCTTTTAACAATCTTTTCAGTTTCATCCCCATTTTACACCTAATCATTGTTCTATCGAGGGACGTAAGGGTGTGTGTGTGGGTGGGGGATACCATCTAGAGGAAATCATTCAAATAACCGTACTTCAAAAATCTTGACAAGCAAAAGAAAAAAGTCCAAACTCTAAAATCCTAATTCGTGTGAATGTGTTTATGATTTCTTTTTTTTTTTGGGGGGGGGGGGTAGTTGTAGGTAGGTTCCAACTTCCTCTCGGTATTTTCTATTCATACACTACTACATTACCCTTATCTGACTTTACTGCAACAAGAAGGGGGGGGGGGGGCTTTCAATGAACATTTTCAATAGGGGGCTCCCCCTCCCACCACCCCCTCCTCCAATGCTGCCTGCCTGCTTTCTAATTTAGTATTTACTTGCTTTCGTTATAATTGAAAAAAAATCTATATATAATTCAGCATGATTTTAAAATTTCCAATCAAGATGAAAATTGCCCTACTGACAGTACTGTATGTAGCAAATACCGGGTATTGATGTATGAGCGTATAAACATACAATTTCATACTTCAAATTTGAATTTCGCTTTAGTGATACAAAAATGGAAGGTTTATAGAACCATACCTGTGTATTAAATAGTAATTCTAACCCTTTCAACAAAAATAGTGAAATATTGTTTTCAATTAAATTAACTTTATTTTGATAATACATGTTGACATGTAGATATAGATTCAATGTCATTTTAAATGAAGAAATATACAAACGGTATATATAGAAAAGTCTTTCTCACCAAAGGAAGTAAAGACTGACCCCTGAATCTGACCCCGGTTGTCCCTGGTGTCCGTTGGACTGGCTTTATGAATGGAGACAATTACCGTGAGAACGAACAGAAAAGTGAGACACTTTACACAAACCATGGCTGGGTTGTTTTGGTCTTGTTAGTGTCAATCGGTATCGCTAACTTCGATAACCCCTATCTGTATATATTGAACATATATAGAACAGTGACCTAATTTTATCCCTTAATGAAGTCAAGAAGTATAGGTAAATTATTAATGGCTGTTTGAACCGCAAATAGTATTTAATAAATGTATTAAAATCACAAAACGAGGTAAATTATTGACAAACAAGTTGATGAAACAAGAACATCAGCAATCTTGCTTAAAGTCACATTTCGTAAGTTCTATGGTCGATACAATGAACTTGTCAGCAAATACAATTTATCTCATACGTGTGGGGGATACTACCCATAAAACAAAATTATGCTTTATCCACGGGTCGATGCTTTATCAATAGCACTTCCGGTTTTCACACGATCCCTCGCTTCAAGATTTTATTTTATTGAAATTATTGAATTATTGTTATATAAACTAAATATTACAGAATGATTACCAAAACTGGTGAATCTTTGTTACATCAAAATTTAAACGTAAATTCAACATATGAACAACGATTATATTAAGGGTGAAGATTTGTATCAGCAATATTTTTACATATGGTAAGTATGAAGGTTGTTTTTCACTGTGGCCACACTTAACTTTGGGAAAATCTGTCCAAATGTCGCATCTTCAAACCATCGCACGTGCCTAACAGTGCATTATTTAACAAAATGAGTTACATAAGGAAAAGAAGTATGTTGTCCTCTAACACTTAACATATAATACCCTTCTTGAATAGAAACTTTATTTATGTGAAGAACATAGTGCCAAATATGATGGTTCGTGGTTTTATCTCTTTTATGATAGTATTATTTCATATTGTAATTAATTGTGGAGAGAACGATCATAGGCATTTATGCCTGCTGTTCAATCCATTTCTTTATATGAATAAAATATATTTTAAACTAATTCATTTTCGGCCTGAAATTTAAGAATTTTATGAATCAAAAAATTTTGACAAGGAATTCTAAAGTTTTTTTTGTTCAAAAAGAGATATTTCGACTCTTAATTAAGGAAACTAATAAGTGAAAAAGAAAACTTTACTGCATATCTGAAGAACCATCTAAAGGGTATACTAATTATATTTCAAAAAAGATTAAGCCATTGTTTATATAGTGGCAGAAAGTATAGTAATGTTTCGCGTCATTGCGTTTTTAGATGAAAATTCCGAAAACTTTTTGCACATCTACAGAGAATTACCAAATAGTTCCTAAAGAATAAGACCTTCAGGAACCAGGGGCCCGTTTTACAAAAGAACTTACGACTGAGACCAAAACTTCAGATGATCGTAAAATTTTGCAAAATTATTAGTTCTCTTCAAAATTATTTGTGTAAATATATCTTGCCATATTTCTTTTAAAAGATTAAGATAATTTTCGATATAATGTTTATTAAAAAGTTGTATGAAGAATCAAATTTGGTTTTAAGGTCCCTTTTTAAAACCCAAATTTGTAATATTAGCGATGTGGATTATGAAGTTTCGGAGTTTTCATATCAGTTTCATTGAAAAGGCCAATTGGGGCTAGAAAAAAAGAATAAATACCCCCTTCAACTTATCCCCATGTTTCCGAAAGTTTTCTCACACTCAAGGTAGTGGCCAATAATAGTTTTAATTTGATTTTCTAGGGATCTTGTAGTTCTAGGAAATTTTATTTTAGGTTTTATGGCCAATTGGAGGCGAAAAACTTTTTTTTCTTTTGTGACAAACCAGATTATACAAATTTGGTTGTGGCACAGAATGGAACTTGTCATGTCTTGTGATAAGTAATCTTCAAAAATTACTTTGTTAAAATTCTTCCAGATTCTACATGAATCTGCAAATATTCTGAAGTTAATAAAATATCTACATGTATTTAAATAAATGACGGAGTTCCTCATTGATAATTCATAGTCTTTCAACAATTTCTAAGAATTCCGCTGCATGGGATCGAACTTATTTCACTCCTTTATTACCAGACCTGTATTAAATATTCATAATCTTACAAAAATGTTTTTATTCAAAATCTTCTATGAAATATGCGAAAATTTGGGACATTAATCAGGCATAAAGTTCATTGAAACAATAGAAATTGACAGTACAGCTAACATGGACCTTTATAATCATCAGAGAGCTGATGAGATCATTCCCTGTCGACCAGTTAAACCCGCAGTCAAAATTCGATTTGACAATAGATTGTATTTGCTGTCAAATCATTGTATCAACCATAGACCTTGCAAAATTTGAAGTTTACTTTCTCGTAAAATACCGGTGTCTATGTGTGTTTCCATAAACTTACTCCTCAATAGCTTGCATCGTTTTAGAAATTGTTCCTATGCATAACATGCTCTATATCTAATCAACTAGTAGACTTAATCTCCAAATGCAGGTGATACTGATAAATTGCTACATAAAGAATTAGGGAATAACTTAAGTTGGTGATAGAAAAGTATATCACTAATTCTTCAGTGGCATTGTTAGCAAATTTCGGTTACTCGTATGTCGACTAACGTTTTAAATACAGATTGTTAGCCATTATTTCAATCTCAACTGAACCCTGAACTGTCCACCCATGACAAGGAGGACACGTGTGTTGTGACCGGTCGACAGAGAATGCTTACCCCTTCGAGGTACCAAATCTCAGCTATGATGTCCTTGTTTGCTTTTCTCTCAATTGGTATCGTGCAAATACAATACATGGAGATAACGAATAGTAATTAAGATCAAAAGTCTATTAAACAATACAAAATTGGAGCAGAGCAAACAAGGACCTCCAAAACATCCAGAGTTCGGATCATTTGTCATAGAGAAGTAAGCATCCCCTGCCGACCGGTCACACTCACCGTATGCTCCTTGTCATGATGGGGAAATCACTGGAAAATCCGTCGACATTTCAGTGTATAAATACTGGCCTAACAATAAGTTTGAAAGAGCCAGCATTTGACTTAATGATAAACTGTATTGGCTGAAAAAGTCATTGCATCGACCATAGAACTTACAAATTAAACATGGAGGTAACAAACAGTATTCAGGATCGAAATTCCACAAAACAATACAAAATAGGAGAAGAGCAAACACGGATCTCCAAACCATCAGAGATGCATGGGATCAAGTGCCATGGGGGAGTGAACATCCCCTGATGACTGGTCACATCCGCCGTGTGCTCCTTGTCTTGATTGGTAAATAACGAAAAAAAAATCTGTCGACAATTCAGTGTATAAATAATGGACTAAAAATTTGGAATGAAAAATGTCAGTCAGCATTTAACTCAATGATAAAAAATTATAATTATATTTGCTGACCACACTGTATCGACCATAGAACTTACGAAATTATAACCCCAAACGAGACTGCCTATATTCTTGTCTCATCAACTTGTTTGTCAATAATTTACCTCGCCCCAGAAATTATTCATACGAAGAGGCTGCTACCGCACATCGAATCAACGGAGACACATAAATTCCGTAAGCAGCCGATGAAAGCACATCGCTGCACAAGTAAGGGAAGTTGACGATAGAAGAGTTAAAGTCATCACGTTTATCATAGAGCTTGGTTGTTAGACCACCACCAACGTCTTTTTCAAGTAAAATATCCAAATATGAACCCGAAGTGTCAGACTCTGTGGTATCTTTTATTTCAAGCTCATCAGGATATATCGTATCGATATAAGAATGGAAATTACCATTGTTAATATTGACAATACGTCATCGATATATCTAAATGTCGAGTTGAAGGCTACAGCAAGTGTTTTCTTCTTTTCACGCATAAAATATTTAGCTAAATCAGAGAATTTGTGTCCCCCGCTTAAGGAAAAAGTAAACCATGCGCAGTTCGGGGGAGGGGGGATCGGATCCCCCTGACTGAATTTTGTAGAATTATTAAATGTATACATGTATACTGAAGCAATTAAAATATGCCAATATGGATAATTTATAAAGATTTGATTGCTTATTCTTTATTATGTGTAAGCATCTTTTTATATGAAATATTTATCACACTGTAATGATGATTTTATGAGTTTGTACAAGCCAGACCTCATAAATTTTTCATTTTACATGCTGAATACTATCATTTAGTAAAAAAAAAGTATTTCTAAAAAAAAAAAAAGAAAATGGATCGTCCGGTTACGAACCCGAGACTTCTCACATGTGAAACGAGAGACATACCACTACACCACGGAACCGCTTTTAACTGGCGAAAATTATATGCAAAGATGAAGTCAGATACATGTATATATTTACGTTCGATATTGTCAAAATTTTACACAATGCATGGTGTGTGGCAACGCACTTTGAAAAAATTACGCACTTTGAAAAATTTTTTCAAAGTGCGTTAAAATTGGGACAAAATCAACGCACTTTGAAAAAAATTTTCAAAGTGCGTTAAATTTGGGACAAAAAAATTTGGTACACACATATATTTTACCATGGAGACACAACGCACTTTGAAAAAAAATTCATATTTTAGTCATGGAAAGATTTATTTGTTATTTATCTTTCAAAAAACTAAGCCTAACCCTAACCTCAAAAATGAATTGATTTACTCCCGTCGAAAAGAGGAGAAGACGGGTAAAATGGTTCTTTATCTTTCCAATACATAGGTGTCGGTAACAAACGGGGGAGGGGAGCAATAAACCTAAAAAGGGTATGCTGCATTTTCAATGCTTATACGATGTATATATCTTTCCAAAATTTGGGGGCTTACCCCCCACAGTGGCCCTTCGCCCAGTCTCAATGTCTATGCTATACTCAAAGCATTCATATAATTATGTATTTACCTAACTGGTATGACCTTCAAAACTTCCAATAATAAATGAGTTAATTAAAACAGATTAAAACTAGAAATTTTTAAGTACAGTAAAACGTGTGAGAGAGAAAGAATGTTCATAGTTTTGAACAATCAAATTGACCCCTTTTTATTATGATAAATGCTAAGTTGCTTGAAGCTGTCCTCTGTTAGTGCCCCCTATACACCTTTACATCTACTTATCAAAGACTTGAATTAAAAAAAAAAGAAGAAACGAATTAATGAACATAAACAATCGTCACTCTTT